ATATCTTCATGAGTGGATATTGATATCTTCATGAGTGAGCGCAGCGAATGAGTGAAGATATTTGTATCGATGAGTGGATATAATAGATATTTTTGAAAAACCATAGGATTGTCCGTTTATCCCATGGGAAATCATTATCAGCGAAAAAAGTTGAAAAATAAAATTTGAGAAAAAATGTCAAAAAATAATTGAAAAAATTGTGAAAAAAAGTTGAAATAAAAATTTGAAATTTTGAAATTTGTTTTAAATATTTTTGAAAATAATTAAAAAATGTAAAAATAATTTTTTTTTAAAAAATTCGAAACTATCGATAGTTTAAAAGTGATATTCGATGGTTTGTGAATGTTTTGCTAAAATATGATATCTTGATCAACATATCAAATATATCTTCATATGATATTCGATCTATATCCTTGCAACCATGGGATAAAATACAATACTCTAAAGTTATCCCTGAAAATTTAAAAGTGATATCCGTACCAGTTTAGGAGAAAACTACTGGACATACAGAAAGAAATGTATGTGGCCCAGACTGAAACACCCTGCCAAAGCCACATTGCAGGAATAGACAGATTGCATGTTTATTTCTCGATTTCCTGTTTTTGTGAATTCTGTGTTGAAGTGGTTCCCTAAGCCTACTAAGATGGAAATGAACAACCATTCCCTATGGCCAAGTTTGCAGGAAATTTTGCTGAGCTTTCTCAGGCAGGGCCAGACAATAATAGTATAAATAAAAAATGAACAGTTTTTTTTAAAAAGTGTTTTCTTTTAGAAATATGCCTGAATATGAAATATTCACAAAAGCAGCCCTGTAATTTTTGGAAAAATGTGCACTTCTTAGGGGTCGGGCCAAAATATCGATGTCCCGACAAAAAATGTAATTATTTCACTAGGGGGAGGGGGTCAAACACTGATTTCATTAGGTGATGCACATCAGTTTTGGTTTTCCCCAATTTTCAACATTTTCAACACAACTAGACTTAGAAAGGTACAAATATGTTCAATACTGTTGTATTTCATTAATTGATCTCTTGTTATCCATTTATACTTATTGTATCTATGACTGTAAATCTACTCGAGTCATATTGTAATTGCTGGTCTCCATTATCAATACAAATGAAATAAACACTGGCCAGTCACATGTGTTAGCCTTAGATTCAGGTTCACAATAGTGTCTAAAAGACATGTTATACATTTATGTTATGGTTTTCTTAACTGCTTCACCACATATTATTGTTATAATCATAATTAGTTAGCGACAGCATTCTTCCATGAGTCCAGTTCTTTTGAAAATTGTCCAAGTTTCCTTCCATAGGCTACTGGATTTCTCATGAAGTGATCATGTTCAAGACTAGGAAAGGATGGGTGGTGGCGCCCAGGGATGAAGTTGAAAAGGTTATCCTTGGAGTAATTTGACACAAAAGTTGTCACATCCTTGACATAGTTTACTCTTCTTGAAACTGCTCTTGATTCCTGGCACACTCACATTTTGAAAGTTATCATTCAGTAGAGCATCGTAATGTCTAGGTTGTCCCAGGGCATCTTGCTGATAAAGGAGTGTTATTGGACTTTCGGTAAAGCATGGTGGTAGTTTTGAATGTAATGTATATATGTCAGCAAATATGCTAAAGTGATTATCTCCAACATTCCTACATAAGCATCAGGCTGAGTGACACTGATGATTTGTTTAACATTTCCAAATACTGGCACATTCATTTTTTATAAAATTAGGACTACTGTCTTTTTCTTTTTTTAATACTTTATTGCCAAAAAACATATTTAAACACATGGAATGCAATTATAAAAAGGAAGAAAAAATTTTAATGAAGTGATTCATACACACTGAATATTTCTACATTTGGAATACAGGGTGTTCAAAAAAAAACGCAACCCAAAGAAATAGCTATATCTTGAAAAATAATTATTCAATTATGTTTATTTTTCAGGAAAGAAAGAAGAGACTGTGTATGTATAGCTCCAGTAGTTGGTTAGTTGTAAAAAATGATGCATCGGACTCCTGCTCGAAAGACAGTTATACAAGGAAAATACGAAAAACCAAGTAAGGGCTGACTGCAACCGCTAAAAACTAAATAACTTCTTAGTGTTTTGGCTCTTCAAATTTGGCACAAATCATCTTCATTCACTGTATGGTAAATCTCTAAAGTGAAATTAAAATCACTTATGGGGCTTTACAGTTATGGCCAAAATGCTTTCAAATCTCAGTCAAACGCCCTGGTTCAGGCAGACTTCAGAAGGCATTTTGACCATAACTGTAAAGTCCCTGAAGTGATTTTAATTAAACTCCACAAACTCACCACACATTGAATGAGGATAATGTGTGCCAAAACACATGGTTAGAAAGTTGTGAGGTTTTATTGCTGTGGCAGTCGCCTCTGACTGCGTTTTTCGTATTTTCCTAGAACAACTGTCTTTTGGGCAGGTGTCCAATGCATCATGTTTTACAACTTATGAACAACAGGAGCTATACATACACAATATCTTCTTTCTTTTCCTGAAAAAATGAACATAATTGAATTAGTATTTTCCAAGATATAGTGATTTTCCATTCACGTTTTTCGTATTTTCCATGTACTACTGCCTTTTGAGCAGGTGTACAATACATCATGTTTTGCTCTAACTAACAACAGGAGCTATACATACACAGTCTCTTCTTTCTTTCCTGAAAATATGAACAAAATTGGATAAGAATTTTTAATGGTGAAATCCCCAACTGTTGTACTTTCATTGCCTTTGTAAGGTAGCCCTTCACTTGTACAGATGGCCCTTGGTGTTTTTAGTTGAAATAAAACTTGAACAGGGAAATGTTCCGTCCCCATGAGCATCATTTAGCATAAGTACCCTTGAACAACATAATTTTGAAAATCATTGTAGTAGCTGTTCGAGCTGTCAATATTCTACATTCAAGTAGAAATAATCTCGATTTACGTCATTATAAATTAAAAATTCTACATGTAAAATTACATCTAGAAATATGGTTTTGAAAAGAGTTTATTAACTTTGAAAATTTAATTTTCTTTGAAAATGGGACTTCTAGGTTGGGGAGTTTCCCCATAGCCCACATGTTGTAAAATCACAAAAATGGAAATATCTTTTTTTTATGTTGGGCAGATAATATTTTCTTTTACTGGACATATTTTAATTTGTATAACTATCAGATACATAACTGCATAAGGGTAATATGAAAAGTGAACCACTAAAACTGATGAATATTAAAGTTTAAGGCAATTTTGTAATACCCTGCCATGTTATTTCCCCCGAATCAGCCACCTGGTGGCGAAACTGGTAACTACCTACTCGCATCTGAGTAATTCGGATAAACTTTAATTTTTATGGAATGGTAGGCAAAGACCCTAGTATGCCTATTATCGGATTATGTTTTTGTTCGAAATGAACTGTTCGAACCCTGTAAACCATACATTTTTATTATTCATATGCTTCAATAAGGTCATATATTCAGTTATATTGGTATTATACAATACATTTACATCACAAATATGATTACAAATTACTTTTAGTTATATTGTTGCACCATAAAATATATTTATTTTACAAAGAAAATACATTTAGAAATACAATTCAATCATTTACAAATGAAACTATGTTATTGTACATGCTGTCGTATTACTGTAGATTGGGTTAATTTGGCGCTACTTAATTTGGCGATTTTGCCATTTTTGGCATATTGGCGGCTATTTGATTTGGCGGATATGCAAAAAAACATATGCGCTGTTTGCGAATCACCATGTAAATGGGCATGTTTGGCTTTGTTCATTTTTTCATTTGAGGACCACTGGCGATATTCACCAAGTTTGTACATTTTTGTGAGATCATCCTTTACATTTTGCACCTCGATCGATGCTGCTACTATACCACACTTTTCCTTTCTATTTTTCCCTGAGTATTATAATGAGTGACTGACCAGTTCTAAGCCAATTTATATAATATGTCATGATATGACATCTAAAGAGTCGATAAAAGATATATGAGAGACATATTTTTCATATTTTTGGAAAAAACTAAACCGAAAGTGACCTAAATACACTGGATGAAATATCCGAGATAATTCCCGGGGATTCATTCTAAATTTTGGCGAAGATTTATATTGGCGAATTTTTCAATTTCACCAAATTAAAGCGGGCGCCAAATTAACCCAATCTACAGTATACAATTGTTCTTGTAAAAAATCATGCAGAGAGATATTGAAAGACGTTTTACAATTTAACATATAAATCATGTTAGTGTACATGCTCTCAAAGTTGTATTATACAGTTATACAATTGTTATTGCAAAAAATTATGCAGAGATATTCAATTGCTTTTTACAATTTAAAATACAAATCATTCAAAAATGAAACTATGTTATTGCACATGCTGTCAAAGTTGTATTATACAATTGTTCTTCTGAAAAATTATGCAGAGAGATATTGAAAGACGTTTTACAGTTTAACATATAAATCATGTTAGTGTACATGCTCTCAAAGTTGTATTATACAGTTATACAATTGTTATTGCAAAAAATTATGCAGAGATATTCAATTGCTTTTTTACCCTTTGTATTCGTTTGACTTCACTTCTTAAAAGAGAGCTTCGTCTTCACTCTTTCAAACTAAAATAAACTTGTGAACTCACCGCGCCAATCAGTGTTCGTCGGCCGAATTTGACCGACGTTCTTTATATGGTCATTCCTTCTGACGTCATCGTTGAGCCCGGAATTGACCAATGACAAGCGCATGTTTAATTAGAACGCATTTGGCGTATGTTTCTTCAAGCTCGCTGATTGGTGGAAGGTCAGCGCGTTGGTCAAAAGTGATTTACCCAAACTGTCACCGATACCCGTCGTGGGGGCAGGGCTACTAAACTGTAATATTGTATCTACTAGGCAGAGTGTAGTTTAACTAGACTCTGCACGCAGGGTATTGCTTTTTACAATTTAAAATACAAATCATTCAAAAATGAAACTATGTTATTGTACATGCTCTCAAAGTTGTATTATGCAATTGTTATTGCAAAAAATTATGCAGAGATATTCAAAGACTTTTTCCAATTTAACATATAAATCATTCAAAAATGAAACTATGTTATTGTTATGCACATGCTGTGAAAGTTGTATTATACAATTGTTATTGTAAAAAATCATGCAGAGATATTCAAAGACTCTACAATTTAACATATTATTCATTCAACATGTTCAATATGAAACTATGTTACTGTGTGACTTGTATTATACATTATTGTTATTGTGAAAAATGTACAATTTAACAAATTAGGCTAGTCATTCAAAAATGATACTATTTTACTGTAGGAGTTGTATTAATCCAGTGTTATACAATTGTTAATGAAAAAATCAGAGATTTTCAAAGATTTCTACAAATGCAATTTTACAAAATTAGACATTTACAAATGAAACTCTGCCACTGTCATCACAAGTGTTATTTAAAAAATCATGCAGATTTTTTCAGAGTTTTTGCCAAGGGGCATCCCTCCAGGCCTGCCCATGGACCTACCTCCAACATCTGTCTTTTATTATCTACAAATAAGAAGTGAACATGATATCATTGCTATACAGATTATTATTGAACATTGTGTTAGGCTTCTCTACTTATATACTCGTACTTATTTGTAAAATAAAAGTGGTAACTGGTAACTTATAAAAGTGGTAACTGATGATTAGGATTTCATGCATCCAAACATATTTTGCTAATTTCAGGAAGCTATATCTATAAGTTACCTCGCACTCCTCTATTCTGTGCTTGGCTTTCTCAAAAGCTTCCTCCATTTCAACTGCTTGGCATAGTTGGTCTGTTGTTTTCCTGCCATCTTTCATTTCACTCCACCTAAAATGGAGGTGTATTTTGTAGTGTACTATTAGGTTAAAATATTTTATTTTATAGTGCCATATGACTGCTGTATCAATATATTCAATAAATATATTTCATTTAAATTGATTTAAATATTTGTTGTTGTTTTATTAGGCTATCAATGTCACCAAAAGGTGGTTACATATTCTTTTAGTCTAGTTAGGCGAATGGTGTTTGAGGGTTTCTTTTAAGTTATCATTTACTTCAATTTGGCCTCATAGTTTATCCATAAAATAATCATGCATAACTGCTCTAGGCTATCAGGCTGGTTTTGCCTTGCAAGTTGGAATAAAATCACCATATTTAGTAAGCTTACAGACAACATTGCAACATACAGGCCCGTAGTCAGAATTTGGGATGTGTATTCACTGAAAAATTCCTGGGGAGATTCACTTTTGACAATTTTTCGCCAAACCCCCACCCCCATCTTTGCAAAACCTAACAATGTGAAACTGCTTACATCTAGTATACTAAGCCATATTGCTTCATCTTTTGAAAAGCTTAGAAAAAATTGAAACAGACCTATGCACTGTCATGCTTCCATGCTTCTTAAGTAACTTGGAAGCAACCCCACAGCTTTGCCCCTGTTCTTCAGTTGTTTTATGATATTGTTCAATGTAAATGTTTTGCCTGTGCCTGCTTGGCCACATACAACTGTATTGTGGGCTTTTACAGCCAAATCAACGACCATTTCCTGAGTATCATCCATATTTGCAGAATGGCAACACTTAGCAGACGATTATTTGTAACTTCCACTATTTCAATTTCATAATCATTTATGGATGTCAGGCAAAAAAGAGTTGACCAATGAAAACGAAGATAGTTATTCACACGGGATAGTCGGCCATTTTCCAAAACTTTTACTTTCAAAATATTATTTTCATGCACCTTTCTGAGTATAGCAGTCGTTATAGGCTGTCCTTCGTTAAAAATAATATACGAGAATAAACCTAAGGAAACAAAGAACTCTAGGAACTACCAATTTTTAACAGTGGACGTGTCTTGGGGAAGAAATCGACTCTGGAGCTAATAATTTGGAGGTGAAAATTGCCGGTAATTGCATTTGAATCACTTCTTTACATATTCTTCAGATTTCTCAGCAACTAGTGGATGGATTGGTACCATTTTGGGTAACTTTGCTCTGTAGTGTTGTTTGAATCAGCATGTCGATTATTGAAAGGATATCTTATGTTTTTACTGGATATATCTAACAATCATTTTCTACAAATTTCAGGAAGCATCAAAATCGACCTCCCTTTTCTCTTAATAAGCAGTACACACTCATCGGAGGGCTTGCCCGATGCCCCTGTATACAAATATATTATCATACAGCATTTTGTTACAAAAAATCAGCGAAAAATTATATCCATTTTTTTTATTTTCAGCCATTTTAGTTAACATTGATTTGTCCATCTGATTCGCGAAATCCACTTTTCTGTCAACATCAGTGGCACGTTTTAAAACCTCTGTCGATAGGATTCCTGTTTTAAGTTATTTCTGTTCAACATCAATACAGAAAACTCCCCTATGGCTCCTGGTTCAAAAGCTGGCCTATTTTCAAAATGGCTGCCATTTTTGTCTCGCGAAATTCACTTTTGACTTTTGTGTCCTACATTGAAAATAATCCATGTCAATGTAAAGAGTAGATGTATGAAATAATTTTGTTACGAAAAATCAGCAAAAATGATATCCATTTTTTTTATTTTCAGCCATTTTAGTTAACATTGATTTGTCCATCTGTCTCGCAAAATCCACTTTTGGACCATTTGCCTTAAACCCTCTGTCGATAGGATTCCTGTTTTAAGTTAATTTTGTTCAACATCATTACAAAAAACTCTCCTATGACTCTTGGTTCAAAAGCTCGCCTATTTTCAAAATGGTTGCCATTCTTGTTTCGCAAAATTCACTTTTGGCCCATTTCCTAGCTTTACAAATAATTTCAGCTGTCCTGCATTGTAAAAAGCCATTTCACTGTAAAGAGTAGTTGTATGAAGTAATTTTGTTACAAAAAATTGGCAAAATATTATATCCGTTTTTTTATTTTCAGCCATTTTAGTTAACATTGATTTGTCCATCTGTCTCTCAGTCAGTCCAAAATAGTGGCAAGTTTTAAAACCTCTTTCTGTCAACACTTGGCTCTTTTTAAATCCTCTGTAGATAGGATTCCCGATTTAAAATATTTTTGTTCAACATCAATAAAGAATAAAGAAAAAAAACCTGTGACTCCTGCTTCAAAATCTGGCCTATTTTCAAAATGGCCTCCATTTTTGTCTCAGGAAATTCACTTTTGGCCCATTTCCTAGCTTTACAAATAAGTTCAGGTGTCCTGCATTGTAAAAAGCCATGTCTTTGTAAAAAGTAGTTGTATGAAATAATTTTGTCACAAAAAATCTAAAAAAATTATATCCGTTTTTTTATTTTCACTTTTGAGCAACACCATGTGACCCCAGTACCCACTGTACTATTTTTTGTGGGATAACAGTGTCACTGGTAAAGGTGACCAATGGGTCAACTCTGATCTTTTTTCATTGCCAATTTATTATACCATTCCTACATCCTTCAGCACCTCAAGTGGTAAAACTTGAAATTTCAAAATTAATGGCTTGTACTTTTCAGCAAACCCCAGAAGGGATTTCTAAATAATTTCTAAGTCTAAGGATCTGTGACAGTCCATAAAAGAGACTTTTTCCTATTCTAGTTCAAAATATTGGATGATTATATTCTAATTACCCAGGTAACCAATACTCATGCCTATATCTGCCAGCAATTTGCCGATTAAATAACAAACATCTAGCAAACAATAGTCATTAAGTAAGACTCATGAAAAAATAATCATCCTTCCAGTCCAGACAAGTACTATTTACGAAGGCATGTACATGCATTGGTACATACAGGGGTGTAAGGTACTTTATTTGATATTTTTAGACTCATCCATTTTTTCACACTGATGGACAGGCTCTAAGCCTCTCTGTTTGTGAGCAGGGACATCTGAAAGACACATGCATAATTTTTATTTTTATAAATGAATAGCATATAAACAAAAAGGAGATTTCAAACAAACCGAAAAATCCTATCTAGTCCTGTTACAAAGAAACAACCTTCCATCACTGCTTTAAACATTCATCAATCCACATATTTTTTTTTATAAAAACCAAACATAGTAAAATAAAATTATACATACCACGGCTAAAAATACAGGGAATTGGGAAACAGTACACAATATTTACACTCAATCTGTAAAAGAGAAACAGACATTTGTAAATCTCATTTTGGACCTGATGTAATAGCAAAATTATTTTGTGATTTCGAGGATTAAATTTTTAGCACAATTTCTCCAGTTACCTGCACTTTTGGTTGCTGCGGTGACCATAATATCAACCAATCAAATGGTAGAACTAATATCCTTACATAAATCAATTTAGAAATGTTCAAGGTACATGTTAAGAAAATTTTATTTGAAGTTTATTGAAATTATTGGATATTATGATAAAACAAATTTGAGCAATTTGGTTTGAAACATTTTACATGTCATAAAAAGTATTCATATTAGACAGGTCAATATGACTTTTCATTGTTCAGATTGGGTATGTTCACACTTCAAGGTTTTTTATCACGGGAGGCAATGGGAAGAAAAGTGGGACCGAAGGAAGTGTTCAAATTGGATGGAATTTGGATTACCCCAACCAGGTGTTCGGATATACAGCAACATACAGGTCTATGAAGTCTTAATTGCAAAACAATGTAAATATTCTTAAATAAGTTACCATCTCTGGAAAGCTGCGCCCAATGTTTGTCACCTCGTAGCCTTGAATAATACTTCGCAGGTGCTCCCAATCATCATTTTCTAACCTGCCTACTAGCATATACCTCAACGTTCTGATCTGTTTGTAAACCAGGTGAAGTTTGGATATAGAACAAAAGGCAAACATTAATTCCTTGATAGATGGCCTGTGATCACAAAAATAAAAATAGGTTTCAATCAAGACATTATTTTGACTTTATTATGTACCATTTTGATGTAGATATACATGTAGGCTATAATCAATATGAGTAAGACTATATATTTTAGTGTTACTCTAGTTCAGCTGGTTTCCATGTGACATAGCCTTGCCCAAGTCTGTCTCTTTTACTTATCTTTATTTCTATTATGACCGCCTTGTACCAAAGAGAAAGCCACATGCTTTACCGACAATTTTGTTGATGTCGGTAAAATTTGACTAATCAACGACTGCCCTGTAGCGTTAGCTCATTATTATGCATGGTCAAAAACAAGTACACTTTTCACCGGTACTTTTCACGAACAAATCTTGCACGAATCTGAGCATGAATTCATCATGAAAATACAAATATTTTATCAGATAAATATCAATGAGAGTTTAGTGGATGCCGGGGCATCGATCGGATAACCAAAGGTGAGAAGATTTCAACAATAAATGTTGAAACGATCGCTGAACATTTAGGCTGAGATTCAATCACCGATCGATCGATGACAACATGACCCGCTACATTGGACTAGGTCTTCGTGCATTTTCATCGCGAAATAAGTTTTAAATCAACATTGAATTGCATGATTTAATTTATATTAATGACTCTTACCTTCCAGTGTACATTTAATTACATACTACAGAGGCGTAGCGTGGGTATTTTGTGAGAGTACGCCACGAGTGAATGAGTTCGAGCGGTGTTTGGGGGGGGGGTTCTCCTCCAAGAAAATTTTAAAATGAGATTGCATTTGAAGCGTCCTGGGTCGGTTTGAAATACGAAATTCCGACTTAATCTGGACCAATTAAATGTAAATTATTAGTCATTTTTTTATCCAATATTTTATGATTACATGAACCCGTTTTAAAATAATGGCAAGGCGAAATAGGTGCTTCTTGGAAATAAAACTCGTTGGCGTCATTTTATTGTTTATAACTGTATACTCATTGTTTATAAGTATAAACTACGTTATAAGTAACTGTGAAACTGTCATATTAAACATGTATCACGTTTATTATAATTTAAGGTTCACACGCCTGTTTTTGGAGTTGGGGAATTTTTCAATGACTTTCGACA